AATACTCTGCTCTACTCTAACTTAATTACAGTTTACACAATCAGCATCAATCAAGTGCAGAGCTGTCCCGCCGGTCCCGCAGCAAAGTAGTCCGGCCGATTACAACAAATGTTCCTATCTCTCTGCTCGTCACATATCTAATATTTTAAGGAAAAATGCAATGATGAAAAGAATAATTACATTTTTTATATCATTTTAAATATTATTCTGTATATTTTTATCTGATTTCCCCCCCACAAAAATCATACTATTTTGGAAAAGATTTGGCGGCCCACTTGCAATACCTTCGCGGCCCACCAGGGGGCCGCGGCCCACAGGTTGGGAACCACTGCATTAGAGCAACCCATCCAGGTCCTTCCCATCCACATCATGGCCCCTCCCCTTTGTGAGTTAAACATCCGCTGTCATTGAACTGGAAGTTAATACACATTCTGAGGTCCTTGCCAGTCAGATCAAAAAAAGTAAGAGTACCGTGCATTATTTTTACTGAATGGAGTCTAAATATTATTGTCAGTCAGACAACATACGATTAAATTAAATCAATAGGGTATCCATACACTGAAACTTGGATTTCCTTGGCTTGTCTGTGTTTTGGATTTCAATGCAGCAACTACAGTCACTTCTTTAAATTGTAACATTGAAACTGAGTAAGAAAAGTAGTATTATCGTACCAGTAGCAAGTATGAATTCAAAGCAGTTTATGCCAATAAAATCTCCCAAAAGATTCAGCAATCAGCTGTATTAAGGTACTTTCTTCTATCCACAACCCCCTCTCAGGACTCCATAAGAGCAGCCGCTGTATGCTTCACATGCAGGAAAACTCTTTCATTTCCTCTCCGCCTCAGATGTAGCAGCTGCTGTGACCATGTTAAATATCCCCAGGACTGAATGGCTGTATTATACCATGAGACATAAAGAGCCTGTATATGTGATGTAATGTTCCTGCTCTCTGTCCCACAGGGTGGACCTGGTGGTCCACTCCCTGAAAGATCTCCCCACCACGCTGCCTGCAGGATTCACCATTGGGGCCGTGCTCAAGTAAGTGCTCTCACAGTGGTGTGCAGTAATTCTGTTATATCAGAACCCAAAGACTCTATTTATTACGGGGGGGATTTGGTATTGTTCCATTTGAATGAAATACATTTAAAAAAACGTTTGTTTTTTGTACATTGTACAACAATATAACACATATGTATTACAGTGCACACAAGGCAAAATAGTTTGAGTGTTCATCTTGAAAATGATAATCAAACATTTGACATTTTTATGTTGCTGCACCGTTTAATTATCTTTATCTCCCTGCTTTAAAATGGGTACTGATTTTTAATATTTTTTACTATGTTTGATTATAATTATTTTGCATTCTGTGAATACTTTTTAATATATTCATATTTACATATTATTTATCTAACTTTAAAAAAAAAAAATTCTAATCATCAGTGTGTGGGAGAGAAACTCCCTCTGGCATCTATCAGAAATCTCATTGTGTAAACAATTTAGGAAAACATTAATGGTCAACCCTACAATATCATCACAATTTCCCATATCGTCCAGTTTTACTGGGTATAGGAGCTGTGCCTCAGCACAAATAATATATGACATACTACTTTGTAGTGCTTTTTGTGTAATCTAACTGGTTGTCAGCTGTAACCATTCACTGCTTTCTGCTGATTTTAGGAGGGAAAACCCCCATGATGCAGTGGTGCTACATCCCAAACATGTTGGCAAAACTCTTGGCACTCTGCCAGACAGCAGGTACAGTCCAACTACATGTGTATTTCACTCATATCAGAAGTATGGATAGCTCATCTTCATCCTGTGTGTTTGTGTAGTGTGATCGGCACCAGCTCCCTGCGCCGCGCCGCCCAGCTGAAGAAGAGGTTCCCCCACCTGGAGTTCAAAGATATCGTATCCTTTCTAGGAAGCAATGTTACAACATGATGATCACTGAGAATTAGATGGGAATTGGATTGAATTTACTACACTCTGCCCATCTTTAGCTTAATAGTCCAGCAGATATGTGAAAGAATTGTGCTTTTGATGATAAAAGCATGACATTTGGCACACTGTTAGAGCATGCCCTAAGGAAGATTTTTGGCTATAGGGCTATCACAAATTTGTCCAATGGCGCCAAATGGCCGCCATTGGTTGTTATTTTACCAGTAGTTTAGGATCTAGACCACCTAGGATCTTGATTTTGGTGGCTAATCCTACATTTTCAAGGATGGGGAATGCATTGGTACTATTTACAACATGCTAGAATGTAGCTAACTATATGTATCTGATATTCAGGGAACAAAATACACAGTAAACCATTAACATATTTATTATGGTGAAGTCATACATGTTACATAATATATATGAAATATTACAGGTTTTCAACTAAATGCAGACTTAGTTCTGAAAACACAGTCCACCACAGTGGCAAAGGGCAGTGTACTGAATTGCTACCTTGACACATTCAGGAGGAGTTCACGACAGGCCTGGGTCGATTGGGCTGCTGTGATTGCCAGGCTACTACCACATCCGTGTCAACTGTGCGTATTGACACCTTGCTATACCCTTCCTTCACAGCATCTCCTAGGCCAGTGGTTCTCAAAGTGGGGGGCGCGCCCCCCCAGGGGGGCGCAGAGGCATGACAGGGGGGGCGCGAGAGACCAGGAGGAAAAATGGTTATAAAAAAAAAAAAGAAAAAAAAAAAAGAAAATGTTTTAAAAATTATTGATTCGAAAATAATATTATACAGTACTATTACGTCTGGGTCTCTATGTTTCATTAAAGTTTGG